CTTAGTAATTTATTGATTGTTTATTGATCTATTAAGATTTTATCTTTATCTTAATGTTATGTACCTACCGATGAGCAATTACAAAATGTATAAAGGATAATAATTAATATATTATCTTATTTAATATATTTTAAAATATATTTATTATAAAATTATTATTTTTAAAGTTAAATTTAAAATAAAAAAAATTTAATTATAAATTTTAATAACTAAATCAATAAATATTAATAAATATATTATATAAAAATATATACTAATTATTTTTCAATACATCAATTGTTTGTTTGGTACATGCCAATACATTAATTGTAGACTTGTGGCCGGTAGAACTTTGATCCAGTTCGGGGGGCCATCGAAACTAAAAGGAAGAAAAAAAAAAGGCATACTCCGATCCGGATTTGACCCAACGTGTAAAATTCAAATGTCATAATAAAAAAATAACCACTAACCCTTGATGGTCAATAAGGCTCATGCACTTAAGACCATATCGAAAACTCTCCATTACCTATTTTTTAAAAAATAATTGAAAACTCGCATCTAGCCTTTTGGGTTAACTGATAGCTTGCCTGTTTAACATGTATTTTTTTTTTTTTATGGATGAGTTTCGAGTTCGTTCCTTGATAATTTATTTAAAAAAAAAATTGAAAGCTCATGCCCAAAACTTGCATCCAATTATGAAATATATTTCATTTAATTTTTTAATGAAGTTTTCCAAAAGCATAGGTTAAGTTTATTTTTTTATTATAAATGTAAATAAAAAATATATAAATTGATATTAATTTTAATATAATATAAATTTAATTAAATAATTGATAAATTAAAAATTAATTTTTATTTTTAATAAAATTTATAATAAAAATATATATTTAATACACACTTAAATTCTATCTTTACCGTAAAAGTTAGATGAATTTTTTTTAATTAATTATATTTTATATTGAGAAAATAATGATTTGCAACCGTGCTTTTGATATAGAAGATGCAATTTTAAATATATTCTTGGAGTTTGCTTACTTTGAAGCTGTAATTGGTAACATGTATTTATATTTAGAATGTATATTTTAAATATATGTATTTTAAATATAT